CCTCAAGGCCCAGCACCTTTTTCCCCTCTGTTCTGTTTAGTGGCACTCATTTTTGAGTCAGTCTGGCTGAGTGTACACACTAGAAGAATTTGCACAACAAGGAGTCAAACATTCTAGATAAACAATTACCAGTAGAACTGCCAATTTTCAAACATTTACAAGTGAATTGCGAAGCATGCAATTCCGCATCCCATGTGCCTCATGCTGAGCTCCTTGGTTACGAGCACTAGGTGCGCCTGAAGCGGCAATAAACCGCCTTATTCTCTGCCTCTCCTGGTTTCCCTCCTTCCCCCAACCCCGCCTCGCATAGTAAGACCTCTCATCGCCGCTATCTGCGCATCGCCTGGCGTAGAGCCGCGGAGCATGCGCCGCATCCGGCGGTTGCGGGCAGTCTGGGATGGCGGCGGGGCGGAGCAGCGCCGGTGCGGGGGGATGCCAAGGAAATGGCAGGGCGGCAGGCGGGTAGAAGGCAGCAACGCGCGCGGTAGAGGCAGGCGTCACGGCGGCGGGCGCGTGCTGAGCGCCGTGGTGCTTGCGCTCGTGGGCGGGGTTCTGCATGGCGGGCGCGCGTTGCGCGGAGGGGCCCTGGGGGTGGGGGGAAGCGCGGACGACGCCAGTGGCGGCTCGGAGCATGCACGGGCCTTGTACAGGGTCAGTGGCGGGCGGGCAGCAGCGTTGTCATGTGGGCACGGTCGTAGTAGCGCCCTTGGCAGGTCAGTCGCGTCCCGCCCTCCTCCCTCCCATCCCACGTGCAAACCTCACGCACTCTTCCGCTCTCTCCCTCTCCTCGCTCTTCCTTTCCCCGCCTTCCCCCTCCCCGCCTCTCAGCACTGGGAGAGCGCGTACGGCCTCGACGCCTTGTCGCTGCTGCCGCCGCCCCACGTCACTCTCCCCCCTGGCGTGCCCCGCGCGCCGCACCTGGAGAATTGCGCACAGCGGACGGCGTGGCGGGAGCGCATGGAGGCGCGCGGGCGCAACGGGGAGGCCCCCGCGTGGGCTCGCCCTTCCGCGTGCGGGGGGGTGCCGCAGCCGCCATGGGTGGGTGCAGCCCGCCCTGTATTCCCGTTATTGCATGCTCCTTTACATGCCCGCGGCGTGGCGTGCAGCAGCGGGTGGGTACGAGTGCGCAGCAGCAGAGCGCCATGGGGGGCCATGCATGCAGTGGCGCGCGCAGCACACTCTTGGGGACCCACCGCCAGGTGCACTGCCCCTACGCCCGCCCATGAGCGCACCCCGTGAGCTGCGCGCAGCCATGGGTGCGCCCACCCAGGGCGCACAGGTGCGCGCAGTGCAGTGTGTGGGAAGCCTGGCGGGTTTCAGGGGTACAGTTCACTGGTGCACGCACACATGTGTGCCTGCCTCTCCCGCCTACCCATGCTGCGTGCTCCTCCATGCAATCGGCCTCCGTGCCTTTCGTGTCACGCCACCTTACAGTCCGTGATCACTGCTGTGCACAATGAACCCCACTGCCACGCGCCCACCCACCACCTTGCCGTGCGTGCCTTGACTCACTGCCAACCCCACACAGCCCGCCTGCCCCTTTCGTATCACCCTCTCCTTGCTCTCTTCCACCGCCTTCAACCGCGTCCATCCCACGTTTCCCAGGTGCGGGGGTCCGATGCAGCGAACCTAGCGGGGACGCGCGAGGCGCAGAGGGACATATGGGAGCAGCAGTTCCCAGCGTCATGTGCAGAGCGGCGCCTGGTGGTGGTGCCGTGGCTGAACGTGGCGTCCTTTGGGCTGGGCGCGCAGCTGCACGTGGTCTCCGCCATCCTGGCCGCCGCGCTGCTCCACAACCGCACCCTCGTCATGCTGCCACACTCCATGGCGCACGCTGACCACGCCCACTGTGAAGGTCCGTGTGCCTTGGCCCGGGCGGCTTGGTCACCAGCTCATGGCCATGGCAGGGCGCTACAGCGGGGGGAGTGGTAGGTGGGAGCGTGGTGGGCAGTTGGTAGGAGATGTGGTGGTGCAAAGCAAGTGTGCGAGTGAGGCCCAGCAACTGTCGAGCATGTGGCCCGTGGGTGCAGTGCGGATATGATAGGGCTCATTCCACATGACTCATCCCCTCCTGCCTCTCCTGTCCCTGCTGTCTCTCCCCCGCCGTGTAACAGCGGTGGGCGAGCGGGGGTCGTTGAGCTGCTACTTCTTCCCCATGGCAGCGCGCGAGTGCGAGGCAGTGGCCATGGCGGCGTACCACAGTGCCACCATGCTCAAGTGTGACAACGCCTCCGTGCTCGCCTCGCCTGCACCGGTCGTGTTCGGCTGTGGACCCAAGCTGGGCCAGGACTCTGCTGTCGTCGGGTCAGCACTCCTCTCCTCCACCCTCCCTATGTGCTGCCCCCTGTGCCTCGCTGCTACAGTGGTTGACCGGGAATAAGTGGCTGTATCTCACGCGCACGCACATGTCATGGCACAATCCACATGGCCATGCGTGCATGGCATCGTCACACCCATGAGCCCTGCATGCTGCCACTGATGGACCCTTCACTCTCTTCCCCCTAGCCCTACGCTTGCTGTGAAAGCCATGCTAGCTGTTCAAAGCCTTGCCATGAGTCGCCCGCCTCACATCACTTCCTTTCCCGCCCGCTCCCTGTCTTCGCTCCCTGCTCTGTTCACTGCACTGCACGCGGCTGCTCTCACACGGGGGGTGACGAGGCACGGCAGGCGGTGGGGCGAGGCGTACAAGGAGCGGGCGGTAGTGCAGGAGGTGGAGGGCGCCCTCTATGCGCGCATGGACGACAAGATCCGCAAGGTCTCGCCTCTCACTCCCCTGCTCTCCCCATGCCCTTGCTCTCCCATAACCTCCCTCGCTCATGCCCTCCCTCGCTCATGCCCTCCCTCGCTCATGCCCTCCCTCGCTCATGCCCTCCCTCGCTCATGCCCTCACTCGCTCACGCTCATCCGCACGCCTCTCCCCGCCTGTGACACGTTGCATCTGCCCAACTCCTCTTCATGTACCGCCATTCCCACTCACCTGCCATGCCTGGCCCCTTTGGCGTTCAAACCTTTCTCTACTTCTCCTCTGCTTCACCAGCTCTTACATCCTCTCCCCCCTGTCCTCCACCCGTCCGCCCGGCCACGTGGCATGTGGGGGCACAGAAGCACTGGTGGCGAGCGCAGTCAGTGCGCTTCATGCTGCGCTGGCCCTCGCGCCACCTCTGCCACCTCATCAACCGCGAGCGCCACACTGCCTATGGCATGCACGTGGCAGCGCAGCTCGCCGCCGCGGCACATCAGGCAGCACTGCTCTCCATGCTCCTCTCCTCCAAACCCCACTCTCATCTCGCTGCCTCCGCCTCTCCCCCATCTTCCTCCCCTCCTCCTTCTCCTTCTCCCTCCCCTCCTGCCCCTCTTGCTCTTACGGGCATGCCCAGCATACCTCCCCCATCCGCCCTTGAATCGCATGCATGGCCGCTGCTGGGCTATGACGCCTGTGACGACGCCACCTCTGCCACTGTCACGCTCACTGCAGCACTCCCCCCTGACCCCGCACCTGCCGTGCCAGCACCCAGCCCTGCAGCAGCGCCTGGCGATGCCCCTCCCTTGCCACCTGAGCAGTGGAGTGCAGCAGAGGCGGCGGTGCTGGTGGGGGGGGCGGTGCACATGCCGCGGCCCGTGGTGAGTGTGCACGTGCGGCAGGGCGACAAGGCACGGGAGATGCGCCTCTTCTCCTTCTTTGCCTTCATGCACCGCGCCAACCGCCTGCGCCGCCTCGACCCCAACCTCAAGGCCGTGTGGCTCAGCACCGAAATGCAGGTGCTGCTCACACGCCCCCCCTCCCTGCCCCTGCTCTTCCCCGCCCTTGTTCACTGCATGCAGTTGCAGCTCATCCTGCTGTCCGCAACCCCTTCCCACCCCCCTCGCCCCATCCACCCCTGGCTGACAGAGTGTGGTGGAGCAGACAGCCTTGTTCCCTGATTGGACCTTCTACTACTCGCGCTTGCCCCGCCAAGGTGCCCGCGAGGCCATGGCGAATTACTCCACTGCCACCGGCCTTTCAACGGTGGTGGGCGCTAGCTTTGCCAACCTACTTATCGCGTCTGAGTGCGACTATTTTGTGGGGACTCTAGGGTCCAATTGGAACCGCCTCATTAACGAGCTCAAGTCAACTAATGGTCGCCTCTTTTCTGGCTATGTATCACTCAATTTTGGCGAATGGTAGCACACAGGGCAATCAGATTGAGCTATCTTGTATGTAGTTCACAGAAGAGGTGCAGCACATTAACTGTTTCGTTCCCTTCTGAAGAAATAGGACATGGGATGAGAGACATGTGGATATCTTATCAAGTATAAGTCAATCAGGAGATCTTAGTTTGATACGGTCAGCTGTCAGCACCATTTTCTCGCTGAATGATTTTCGCAGATACCTTCGCTCAATTGGTTCTCTTCGACATCAAGAGAATCCTGGCTCGCTCGCTCAATCGACCCCGAGGGTGCGTTTCACTTCGAACATCGAGTTCTTTTTCACGGAAGCGGTTACCATACAGAAAGTCCGGATTTTTGGCAGTTCTGACGATAATAATCAGCAAACGTCACACGGCCTTGAAATCTAGGTAGCGTTCAGGTCGGTGAAAAGCGTTCTTATTCGGTTATGCTAACTAGCTCTCCAGCATTCCACAACATCGCACTGAAGTGAAAGTGAACCAGCCTTGACCCGCCCTGGTAAACACGCCTCGCACACGCTCACACCCATCGTTACACGTTCCCCTGTCAAACAAATGCTTGACCCAATAATACTAGTTTCCACCAATAAACACTGGTCGCCCAGTAGCGATGCACTGCGCACTCTGGGCCTCATTCACGCTTCCTCCACCCCCCGTTCGCGTTCCCCCGGCTATCGCGGCGGCGATGGCCGCTTTCTCACTACATAAACCTTTCCTCCCGTCACCATATGTCGCCATTCCATACGAGTTTCCCTCCTCACGCTCGGCTCACTCATCACTGCGTCTTGCGTCGTCGTCACCATAACCTCGCCAATCACCCCGTCTCTCGTCGCCATGCCGTGCGGCCCGCGTTCTGCCTTTCAAGCTGGCCTCGCCACGGCCCTCGCTGCCGTCGTCGCTCTCGCGCTCCTCGCAGAGGCCAGCGCGTTGTCCGTTGTATGCGACTCGCCTTTGCGGTTCGAAGGCCCAGACACATCAACGCAGTACGCGGACTTGCTTATCCACGACACTCTGTGCGAAGACGTGGATCGGAGCTGGTTCGTGGATGGGACTCAGATCAACGCCAAGATCTCGTGGGGCGGCTTCCGTTATTTCGATAACAAGTGCAGCAGCATCGCCTTCTACTCCACGCCGGGCTGCGCGGGAGGTCCCTACTTGACGTACCTGCGTCCTCCGTCGAACAGCCAATTCGTGGATTATTCCTTCACGGAGTGGTGAGCTCGCACCTGCTGCACAACGGTTTCAATTTGCTTCCCAGGCAGTTGCTTTGGTTCGGTGGGTCCGGGTCTGTGACGCGCGCTCACTTCCACGTCTCTCCCTCTGCTCTCCTGCTGCCCCCATGCCCCCGCTGCTGCTGCTCTCAGGTCGCTCCCTGCCGCCGCGTTGCCAGCGGCAGTGAGATGCGAGACTGGTGAGATTGCACCTCTGGCCCCGCACTCACTTCCTAGCTGTCACACGCTTGCCCATCATGTGCCAATGCCCGTCGCCCGCACTGCATCGCACCGTGCTGACTGCCACACGGTGTGTGTCACACACTGCCACACGGTGTGTGTCACACACTGCCACACGGTGTGTGTCACACACTGCCACACGGTGTGTGTCACACACTGCCACACGGTGTGTGTCACACACTGCCACACGGTGTGTGTCACACACTGCCACACGGTGTGTGTCACACACTGTCACACGGTGTGTGTCACACACTGCCACATGCATCAGCCGCGGCATCACTGGCTTGCTGTGCTCTTGCAAAAGTCTAGTCGCCTGCTCACTTGCACGCATTCCGCCATCCCTCATTGAACTCATTCACTTATTCATCGGTCTCACCTCATGCTTGCTGTGACCCAACCGTCAACCTCGCTGTCTCATTTTTCTCCCTCCCCCTTCCCACTTTGCCCCGCTGCCCTACCTGCACAACGCCCCATGCTTCTACCACAGGCTGCAGTGAGCCCTGTGGGTCAGATGCTACGTGCATCAGGAGGGACGGCCAGGACCAGTGTGTGTGCCCTGGGTCTCAGCTCTACGACAGCAATGAGAAGCAGTGCCGCGATGGTGAGTGCTGCTTGCCGAGTGTGGGTGCGTAGTGCGGGAGGCAACCCCGAGTGTGGGTGCGTAGTGCGGGAGGCAACCCCGAGTGTGGGTGCGTAGTGCGGGAGGCAACCCCGGGGGTTGGGTGCCCGAGACTGGAGTTTCTTGGAGTGTTGAAGCCGTGTGCTTTCCTTCTTGTTGGCACGCCTTTCCAATCGTGTGTGCTCCTTGCTTCCCTTGCGCCTTGCTCGAGTCTCTTGGGGGGATGTCAGCGCAGGCCTGGCAGTATCTGTCCCTCCTTAACCTCCGCTCGCCTTGTTCTTCCCTTCCTCTCTCCCCTCCTGCCCATCCCAATCCGCTGTCCTTCCCACGCCAGGCTGTGAGGATTGCGGTGCGGTCGCTCGGTGCACTGTGAGGGACGGCACAGCGCAGTGCGTGTGCCCTGGGGACCTCCCTTTCATCGCCGCTACCAAGACATGCCAAGGTCAGCACAGCAGTGAGCCATGCTGCTCAAGAATTAATCCCTTCTACTCTTGCTGTTACCCCCCTTCTACTCCTGCTTCTCCTTCCTTAATCCCTTTCCTCCGCTGCTGCACCGCTAAGTAAATAGTTCCTTTTTTCCATGTGTGCCCATCTCAATCATTCGGCCACCCCTTGCGCCTTGCTATCTGCAGAGCCCAATGCCGCACCGCCATCCTGTGCGACCCAGGGGTGTCCTTCCAACTTTACTTGCAATGTTAATCTCAGCCCTCCCACATGCGTCTGCATTGATGGGCTTCAGCTCCAGAACAACCAGTGCGTTGGTGAGTCTGCTTCTCTCAAACTCCCTTCTCACCCTCTCCCTTCTCACCCTCTCCCTTCTCACCCTCTCCCTTCTCACCAGCTTGCTTCTCAACCTCTCGCCTCTCGCACTTTCTTCTCTCCCTCTTCCATTTCTCCCGCTTCCTTCTCTCCCGCTTCCTTCTCTCCCGCTCCCTTCAATCCCGCTCCCTTCAATCCTGCTCCCTTCAATCCCGCTCCCTTCTCTCTCTCTCCCCCTTCTCTCCCGCTTCCTTCTCTCCCTCTTCCTTCTCTCCATCTTCCCTCCCACTTCCTTCTCTCCATCTTCCCTCCCACTTCCTTCTCTCCCTCTCCCTAATCCCCGTCTTACTTCTCGCCCACTTTCTTCTCAAACTTGTGCTTCTCGCCTTTCTTCTCACCACATAACGACTCGCCTTCTTGCGTCTAATGATGTTGCTTCTGTCCCTCACTCTTCCATCTCTCCCTCGCTCTCCCTTGTCACCCTCTTTCTTCTCGCCTCTTCCTTCTCTCACCTCTTCCGTCTCGCCTGCCCTCGCACCCTTTTCTTTCTCTGTGTGTTTCGAATCACAAGGATCTGCCTTTGTCTCCTCCACCCTCACGCACCTTCCTCCCCTGCTTCCGCTGCCTCCCCTCCCTCCCCTCTCTCCCTCTGTCCCTGATTTCTCCCTCCTCCCCCCCCTTGCTCCCTCCCTGACCCGGAACCAGCCCTCAACCCCGAGCCATCCGTGAATCCCGAGCCATCCGTGAATCCCGAGCCATCCGTGAATCCCGAGCCATCCGTGAATCCCGAGCCATCCGTGAATTCCAAGCCATCCGTGAATCCCGAGCCATCCGTGAATCCCGAGCCATCCGTGAATCCCAAGCCATCCGTGAATTCCAAGCCATCCGTGAATCCCGAGCCATCCGTGAATCCCAAGCCATCCGTGAATTCCAAGCCATCCGTGAATTCCAAGCCATCTGTGAATTCCAAGCCATCCGTGAATCGCGTGCCGTCCCGAGATCCTTGTGCGGCCGGCAAGTGTCTCGCAACTGTGCCTTGCATGGTGGAGAAGGGGGAAGGGGTTTGCAAGTGTCCCCGTGGCTACATTAAGAAGAACGGAGTTTGCACCGGTGAGAGAATGGCGTACGCAATGTTGAGCAATATTCAGAAATGAAGCATGATGCTGAGGAGACGTTGAGAGCCCCTGTGGCTCGTGCATGATTCTCGCTTGCATCATACCCCTTACCCTCTCTCACAGCTCCTTGAACTCACTGTAATTGCGTCATGTTAGGCCTTCTTCCTCCATGCTTCCCTTCTCACGCCCCTCTCTCTTATCTACTGTGCATGTCAAGTGTCAGACATGGTTGGAACATCTCAACACTCGGCATTTCCCCCTCCCGCACCTCCCGTGGTCTCCGTTTCCCTTGTGCAGCCTTTTGCAAGCCTGAATGCCCTCGCAACGCGGAGTGTGTAATGGACGGCACCAAGACCAAGTGTCGCTGCATGCCTGGATACACCATGCCCCCGCGCAGCGTCAAGTGCATTCGTTCACCCTAGAGCCACAGATGAGGGGTTGGTCAAATTGGAAACAACGGTGAGCTGTGTTTCATTCTGCTCAACTCCTAAGCCACATGTGAAGCGATCCTGGTTCCTGCATCCGCAGTCAGTTCCCTGCACCGAACTTTATTCAGCCGTGTTTTTCCGAGAGGTCTTACTTCCTCAGTGTATGTTTCCTCCGGTTGGTGTTCCTCCTCTCTTTCCTTGTTGGTGCAGCCGTTTGAGGAGAACCAAGGGTCAGGCGGGGGCAGCAGCACTTCCATTTTCGAGCCCAGCGTGCCCAGCGTCAAGCTTCCTTCGCTTCTGCCTTCTCTACACCGCCTGCTGCTGCCAAGTTCACAAGCTAGGAATTGCTGAGTTTATTTGGGCTTTGCTTTGTGTGCCTTTTTTGTTTTTTTGCTTATAATGACTATTGTTGTAGTGTACAATATAGGTAGCTGTTGGGCTGAGAAAAGCCCTTAGGATCTTTCAAGGCTAAGACTCTGTCAGGAATGTTGTATTGCGGAAGCGTTTAATGATAAACTTGTTGAACCACCTTGCGCTGGTGTGTGAGGGCAAGATCGATTAATTATATCAAAGGAATACAAGCTTTTATAAGATTACAAGGAATACCGTATGAAGAGGTGCAACTAACTGTTTTACTGTTGCTGTTGCGGTTCGATACCGTACAATGACGACTCGGGCAACTGCTCAATAACGAGTAAGTTGTTTGTCCTTGCTGTCGCGCTGTATTTTGGCGAGTAAAAGGTCGCTGACCTTTGACCTTCGCGTAACCTCCAGCTGTTGCGTTTTGTCAACCTCCTCGGTTGACTCGTCGTTGCTTCGTTGTAACTCGCTTCGTTTTACAAGTTCGATGTTCCGTCACAACAGAAGCCGGTGCACGAGCGTCTGTTGTCGGAGTCGCCAGCGTGATCGGCGTCGACGTAGCCGATTAACTTAGGTGTCGAGGTTCCGTTCTTGTGATAGGTCAGGCCGATCGTCGGAGTGCTAACGAGGTAGTGAAGAGCGCGATCGAGCTCCGCCATGTGTTCCGTCTCGAGCCTTTTGAGATAGGTGGCGAGTTGACTCGCAGAGTACGATAGATCCGGACGACAGGTGACGGCCGCGAAGAGGAGGCACCCCAGCTTTCTCTGGTAGTCGCGTATGCCTGCGGGCTTGAGCAGAGCGGAGCTTTCCTTGTGATTTCCTGTGGTGTAGCGGTATGGCGTGGAGATGGTGATCGGGGTGAGTCCGAAGCGTTTGGCGATAGTGTCGGCATATTTCGCGGCGTTGAGATGGATCGCGCCTTCTTCTTCCTGGATGTTGAGGCCGAGGTATTGCGTGACGGTTGATGACACTGTGAGAGTGAGATCCTGCTGCAGCTCCCCTTCGAACCAAGTAGTGATGCCGTCAGTCGATCCGATGTAAAGCAGGTCGTCCACGTAGACGATCAGTAAGATGTAGTCATCGCCTTTCGTGAGCCGATACATGCCCTGGTCATGTGGTAGTTGGCGGAAACCGATGCGGGTGAGTCTGGCGTGTAGGTACTTTTGCCATAGTCTTGGGGCCTGTTTGATGCCATACAGGGACTTCAGCAGCTGTCAGACTTGGTTGGGTTCTCCATTGGAGCCGTGTGGAAGTTCGACGAAGATTTCGGCGTCAACTTGTGCGTAGAGAAATGCATTTGCGACGTCAATTTGCCGCAGCTTCTTCTTCTTCATGGCGGCGATCGCGAGAAGGATCCGAAGTGAAGTGTGTCGGCTGACCGGGGCGAACGTCTCGGTGAAATCACGTCCGTGCTCTTGGTCGAAACCGCGCACGACCCAGTGCGCCTTAAACTTGTCGATGGTACCGTCTGCCTTTGTCTTCACACGGAAAACCCATTTTCCGGTGAGTACCGTTTTGTTGCGTGCCACGCCGATGGGAACGACTTTCCAGGTGTTCCGTTCTTCCAGTGCTTTCAGCTCCTTGTCCATGGCTTCGCGCCTTTTTTCCCTATGCTCCCCCCCCAGAGCCTGCTGAACTGTGGCAGGCTCCTTAGGAATCTCCGTGCCGTGGACCACGGTGACGAGGCCGAGTATCTGGAGCCCGCTCTGTGTGTAGCGGGGAAGTGTCGTATCCTCGGGATAAGCTGCTTCGTCACCTTCTTCTGGATCAGGTAAGAAATTGGGTCCTATGCGTTCGGCTTCGTTGGTGTTGACTCGGGCGGGTGTAACGTAACCATTGTCGGCGAGGTAGTAGAAGACTTCGGCGTTGATGCTTTCGCGAGGGTTGTCATCGTCCATTGGGATATCCACCGAGCAGTAGGGAAGTGGTCCCGCTTCTTCCGAAGCTCCATCCATGGACTGCTCGTCCAGGTCAGCTTCGTCTTCTGCCGAAGCGACCGCTCGGTCCCCACGAAATCCGCCTGTGACATCTCGTGAAGTCTCCAAGTTGTGCAGGTACGTTGAAAGGGTGAGTCGCTCGTAGAAAATGACATCACGTGCTGCTACTGTTTCCTTTGAGTGGACGTCGAAAATCTTCCACGCGTTGTAATTCTTTTCAATGCCCAGGTGTAGTCCCCACTGTGCGCGTTGGGAGAATCGGCCAGCGCGTGCAGCTGGGGGTCGGTACTGTACCATGCAGCCGAAGTTTCGCATCATTTTTGTGCTGCCCAGTTTTCCTGTCCACAGCAGAAGCGGTGATGCGTTGTTCGGGAGCGATGATGACGAAAGCAAGTTGTGCAGCATCACGGCGTGGTCCATTGCTTCGGGCCACTGGTGGTTGGGTAGCCGCATGCCACGTAGCAGCTTGCGCATGGTGTTCTGAAGGGTCCTGTTCATTCTTTCTGCTACACCCTGCTGTTGATGGGCGTAGGGAAGGGAGATGAGCCGCTTGATTCCTCTCTCTGCCAAGTACTGCTTGAACCTCTGTGAGGTGTATTCTCCTCCCCCGTTGGACTGAAAGCTTTTCAGCTTAACTCCCGATTCCCGTTCTGCTACTGGGAGCCAGGCTACGAAGGCTTCGAAGGCCATGTCGCGGCTTGGAAGGTTGAGATGCCAGACATAACGAGTGGCGGCGTCGATGAACGTGATGGTGTAGTTGTATGCTTCTTGTCCAGGTTCGCGGTTGTACAGGATGTCGCTGTACACTTTCTCAAGCGGTGCGTAAGCTGGTGCGCTCGGGTTGTGGTGAGAAACGAAGGGCTAATGAGGTAAATCAGCTTCTGGGCAGGTGAAGCAAGTTCCTCTCATTCGTCGAAGTTCTCTGCCGTCGGGTAAGAGTAGTGAGTCTTTGTCAAGAACGCCTGCTCGTATCGTGTTGTTTAACGTCGTGTTGCTCGGATGTCCCATTCGTTTATGCCAGAGATCTTCGTCAGCGCGATGTCCGGGTGAGCGTCGGTATAAGTCGGAGTTGGAGTAGAAGCCTGCGGTGTGGTTTGCGCTTCGATGAACTTCACGTGGAGTTGGATTCAACTGCTGCGCAGGAGTTGGTGGTGTGTTGTCGACGAAGACCGGTGCCGTTGAAGGTCCCGCGATTGGTGCCGATGCTGTCTCTGCTGCTGCCGATGTTGTCTCTGCTGCTGCCGATGTTGTCTCTGCTGCTGCCGATGTTGTCTCTGTTGCTGCCGATTGAATTGTTGCTAATGCTCTTGTTCGTTCTGCCTCAGGGATGGTGTGCGAATACCAGAAACCCTTTTGGCTGAAGTCAGGATCAAGGTCCGGAGGGTGCGTCCAGGAGGTGAAGGTGACGATTCCGTCGCTGTCGGCGGTGCCTAGATCTGGTACGAAGTCGAGGACGAAGACGTTATTTTTCAGGACCGCCTTCTCGATGTAAAGTCCGCCTTTTCAGTGGTACAGCTTGAACTCCTGAGTGGTGCTGTCTGCTTCGAGATGGATGCCTTTCGTCATCAGTTGGCTAACACTTAGTAAGTTGTAGCCGAGTCCCTCCACAATTAAAACCTTTGACATTTGCAGTATGACGTTTGTCTCTCGTGACTGAAGTTGCACTACGCCCTGTCGTCGTGTGCGGATTGTTGGCGACGGTGATGACAATTTCGCGCTGAAGTTGGTGTTCGCGTTGAACGAAATGACCCGAAGAGCACATATGCTGTCCGCAGCAACTATCCAGGAACCAAGTGTCTTTCCCGGACGGTTCACTTTGAGCGATGGCTGCATACGTCGGGTTCGGTTGAAGTGACTCGCGGCGAGGTGTGCTGTTGTCGAGTTGCTCTTCCGGTGAGTAGTGTGGTGGTGACTCGGTGATGCAGGAGTCAGTCAATCTTGCCATGCAGC